TCATTCCAGATGAGTCTTTTTACCCAAAAGAACACATACAGAACATGTATCGGACCCACTATCGGACCCACTGCACAAAGACCGACACAATGGGACCACGTATGTCTAGTACAGATGCCTGGACAGTATATCGCTACATCAGCATTGTTCCAATAGCATTCATTGTGACAAATTGTCTCTTGTTGTGTCATTTGTATGAACAAAGATGTCTCACTATGAAATACTGTAATACAATAAAATAATTTCAGGTTTGCATTGAACCCAGCATGATCCTGAGCTCAGGTTTGGACTAGGTTCTGAGAACATTAAATTCAGACAGGGTTTCGGGACAGCTCAGGTTTGGACTGCATGTTGAGGACTGGGTTCTGACTGGGTTCAGAGGAGCCCAGGTTCAGACATAGTTTGGACCAGCTCAGTTTGGACTGGGCTTGGAGAACTTCAGCTTCGGACTAGGTTTGGAGGAGTTCAGGTTCAGGCTGGTTTTGGAGGAGTTTAGGTTTGGACTGGGTTCAGAATAGCTCAGGTGTAGAACAGGTTTGGAGGAGCTCGGGTTTGGACCAGGTTTAGAAGAGTTTAGGTTTGGACCAGTTTCAGAGGAGCTCAGCTTCGAAAGGGGTTTGGAAGAGCTCAGGTTGGGACTGGGTTAAGAGGAGCTCAGGTTTCTGATCAGGTTCTGATTGAGTTTCAGAAGAGATCAGGTTTGGACCGGGTTTGGTAGAGCTCATGTTCAGAGGAGATCAGGTTGGACTATGTTCATGGAGAAGATTAGCTTTGTATTGGGTTCGGAGGAGCTAAGGTTCAGACCAGGTTCAGAGAAGCTCAGGTTGGGACTGGCTTTTGAGGAGCTCAGGTGTGCACCAGGTTCAGATGAACTCAGGCTCAGACAGAGTTCAGAGGAGCTCAGGTTTGGAACGGATTCGGAGGAACTCCTGTACAGACCAGGTTTGGATTAGCTCAGGTTTGGACCGGGTTTGGGAGAGCTCGGATTCAGAGAAGCTCAGGTTTGGACTGGGTTCGGAGGAGCTAAAGTTCAGACCAGGTTCCGAGGAGTTCAGATTTAAACTCGGTTCAGAGGATCTCAGTTCCGACCTGCGATTGGAGGAGCTCAGGTTTGCACCAGGTTCAGATGAGCTCAGGTTTAGAGGAGCTCTGGTTCAAACTGGGTTCGGAAGAGCTCAGGTTGGGACTGGGTTAAGAGGAGCTCAGGTTTCTGATCAGGTTCTGATTGAGTTTCAGAAGAGATCAGGTTTGGACCGGGTTTGGTAGAGCTCATGTTCAGAGGAGATCAGGTTGGACTATGTTCATGGAGAAGATTAGCTTTGTATTGGGTTCGGAGGAGCTAAGGTTTAGACAGGGTTCAGAGGAGCTCAGGTTTGGAGGAGCTCAGGTTCGGACTGGGTTTAGAAGAGTTCAGGCTTGGACTGGGTTTGGTGATGCTCAGTTATGGACATGGTTCCAACAAGGTTTGGTCCCAACCAGAGCTAATCCCTCTTGCGAAATGCAGATGAAGGCACAGACAAGTGCAGAGACACTCAAAGGTCCGTGACACTTATATGTGGTTGGTCTCCATTGAGGCAGAACTTTATGCCATCAGTCCCCCGTACCTAATATTTAATATTCCATCTGGAACCATTAAAAGTCCATTCCAGTTTTTTTTGCGCCATTTGTATATGAAATGTTTTATTATATAAATAAAGAGCAGCAATCATAATATAATGAGAAAGTCCAATCTAAGGTAAACCTGTGGACGTTGCCGCTCCCCCACTTCTGGCCTCTCTGGGAAATCGGGGCGCGTGAAGCAGCCGGAGGGAGGCCGCCGCGATAACAGCGCCATGTCAGGTGCTGAGTCTGCACCGTGTTCTCTCCATTGTGTTCCCGGGAGATTTGTGTGTGAGAAGTTTTGCTATTTGTGCGCTGCTCTCGGAATCTCTCTCTGCGATCTCCGCGTCCCAGACTTTACCTCGCACTATTGTTCCCCACTTCCCCCCTCTTCCTATCTGCATCGCTGTACAAACAGGCCGGCCGCTTTCCCCACGCTGAACTCGGCCTCCGCAGTTCCTCGGCTTCTCTCGATATTCACACTTCAAAACAACAACAGTACACATCCCACCATTAATTAACACGTGTTACAATGTTTTCCCACGCAGCTCAGTCCTGAATATACACATTCTCTGCTACGCAGCACAGTCCTCTCTGGGAGCGCAGAGGACCTGATTCTTCTCTGCCTTGGTTCAGTAACACTTACAGGCAGGGCCGGAATTACTCTCTCTGCTGCCCCAAGGCCCCCACTGCTGCCCCTCTACTCCCTGCTGCCCCAAGGCTGCGCCTTGGTTGGCCTTGTGGGCAATCCGGCCCTGCTTACAGGTCTTGTCCCTCCCCCAGCCTGCGACTGGACAGTGAAAGGAATAGCAGAAGACTGATGAGCTCATCTCTCTGCCACTTTGCTTTCACCTCCTATCAGCATGCATCTTGCACTGCAGCACAACTGACTGGCTCCTTCTGCTGCTTCTCCCTCCCCCTAATATGAGCTCTGCTGTACAGGAGGGGGCAAGAAGTAGATACCCGGTCATTTCCTTTCACTGCTTGCATTAAAAAAAATACATAATGAATACAGTGTTGCAGTTTAATATCGGCCTGGTCAGTCCACAAACGTCTATTTCAGCTTTGATAAATGCCAGAGAGGTAAAGCACAAGGAAACGCCAACTGACTGACGGACTGACTGACGGACTGACTGACGGACTGACTGAGTGACTGACGGACTGACTGACGGACGGACTGACTGACTGACTGATTGACGGACTGACTGACGGACTCACTGACTGACGGACGGACTGATTGACGGACTGACTGACGGACGGACTGACTGACGGACTGACTGATTGACGGACTGACTGATTGACGGACGGACTGATTGACGGACTGACTGATTGACGGACTGACTGACGGACTGACTGACGGACTGACTGACTGACGGACTGACTGATTGACGGACGGACTGATTGACGGACTGACTGATTGACGGACTGACTGACGGACTGACTGACTGACGGACTGACTGACGGACTGACTGACGGACTTACTTTGGACTGACTGACTGACGGACTGACTGACGGACTTACTTTGGACTGACTGACTGACGGACTGACGTTTTGTTTGCTAGAACACTTCGTATCATAAACAATTCTCTATTTTTTTTCTTTCATTTTTTTTTCACTTTTATTTCATCCATCTCTTCTGCAGCCTCTTTGCAGCCACTTCCTGTCCACGTGCACCCCAGCGATGGCTGCATGACATTTCTCAGGGCAGTGACAACATGTGTGTTGAAATGGCCACTTGTAGTTCCCATCGGGAAGTCCATGTGACAGGGTGACAACACGGGAGCACAACTGGGAGACAGGGGGCAGAGCATTGTCACCCTATAACAGGATGCGCCTGAACAAGGACCTTCATGGCAGGATCACCAGGGATTATTATAACGGAAGCTGCAGATTTAAAAAAAAATTGAAAATAACTTTTGTAATGACATCGGCATGTTAAAGATTATATCAGACTTTAGTGTTTGGGTTTACATCGATTTTAAATCCCCTAGATCGCCTTGGGGGGCTCAAGTGGCCGATTAGTTGGTTTTGGCGCAACAACTTAGCCACCGAGAAAAATATCAGTATGATCGTTCAATTGATACGCTGTTGGTGTAAAATAATAAACTAGGGGGTTAGGTTAAGTTTAGGGTTGGTTAGGTTTGATTAGGTTTAAAGTGGCACTCCGGGTAGGGTTGCCGCTTGTCCAGGATTCACCCTGACAGTCCAGGTTTTGAATGCTGTGTCCGGGTTTCATGGCAGCTGAAACCCGAACACAAGGTGTCATGGAGAAGCGCTACTTACCTATGAATAAGCCGCCACTCGTTCTCCCCCAAAAATGTCCATGCGTCGCCAGAGTGTTCAATGGAAGACTACCTAACTCCGGATAGTCATAAAACCACCAACCAATGCCGTGTCCCCTGCATTACTTAATGGTATCTCCAACCGACCCTGACATCCCTACAGGACACAGAGGCAATGTAGGGGTTGGTGGGACAAACCAAAGAGCCCAACAGGAACCAGGAATCTGAGGCTTTCTGTAAGAGTCTCCAGGCAGCTAAAACAGAGCAGATCGGTGACAGGAGAGGTGTTTACTGTCTTCTTTTTCATGAAAACATTTTGGAATGTTCACTTTTAAAGACCCGAACCCTTTTGTGTCGGAGAACAATGCTCTAGTCTTCTGTTTGTATTGGAGAAGAATCGCAGGAAGTTGAGCCCAAATGATAACTGGTCATCTGTGATTTATGAGTTGGATGCTGAACCAGCAACATACAAACATTCCCCCGTGGAATTCCACCCCAGAAGTTGTGCCCTAGAAGTTGGCACAGAACAACCCAAGAGGTGGTGGTGAGCTCCAGATCTGGTTTATGAGCCATCACGGTGACACCGTGGCTAACATCAATCTCTTGCGTAGAATAGAACAATGGAATTCACACGGGGGGAAGGGGGGTTAGGCTTTGTCATCTTCCATTCCCAGAGTTACTCAGACTGTGATTTCCTCAACCAGAGGCCATCGCTGAGAGCTGAGTTCTGAGGGTTTCCTGTACTCGCAGTCCTGCTACGCCTTTTTCCTCTTTCCATGGCCAGATCCCAGAAAGCTGTGGAAGTCAGAGGTGGCTGACGTGAGAACGCCGGAGAGAAGCAGGGCGCAGGAGTTATGGAATAATCCAGAAACATCCAGTCCCACGTTCTTCATCGTCCGCAGAGCTTGGCAATTGGAGATGTCTCTACTGCTGAGATAACACGAGGACCAGCTGGGCTTGGGAACCCCTTCGCTCCGTTGACCTTGTGGCAAATTCTGGGAACCTGTCTTGTCGGGAGTAGACGGCTCGGAATCTTCTGGAGTCAACATCATAATCACCATCAACATCTCCAGCATCAGATTGAGTTACAGGATTATTATTTTGGGAATATCTCATGAGGATCTGTTTCTAAGGACCGTGCCCGGGCTATATGAAAGATGAGGATCTAGTATTGATCTCTGGACACGTGGATCAAGCTGGGCGATCTTCACCTCTGTGCCACCGCTGGGACAATGCTGAGGTTCCTCCTGGTCCTGGGTCTCTTCTTCACTTCTTTACTTCTAAAAACAGGTAAAACCCCCCTTTAGTTTCTGTAGGAACATGAAAAAAGTGTCCATGGTAGATGAGCCTGAGGGCTTCAGGTGGCTATGTGTGTGTTTGACTGAAAAGATCAGGCCCAGGCAGGACAAGTGGGAAGAGGAATCTGTAGGTTTCAGCAAAATGTAGCCATTTTAGGGGAAATGCATTGGAGTCAAGGGGGATGGTGAAGCTATTGGTGTTTTTTGGTGGTTTTTAAGGTTTCTGTTGGCTTTAAAGGACTCCTGAGGGTCAGGGAAGCTCCTTGATCTGTTCTTCTACCCAAAAATATCCCCTCTTTCACCTCATTATTTTATATTTTTACTTCAAAGAAAGAAAACACTGAAATCACTAAACTGAAAACACTGAAACGCATCAATGGGCGTCAGTGTGCATTGTTACGTGTATTGACGCATGTTAAAGACACATGATGACATACCTTATGATGCATTTCCATTGGGTTTCGCATTGGGGAAAAAAAAGGCATAAGGGTGAATCTGGAAGATAACTGGATGTAGCATTGTATGTGATTGCGCAATACCACAACATTCGGCAGTTATTTGAGGATACAAAGCCCCGTGTAGCTTGTACCATGGGGATCCCATTGAACCATACCTTAGTGGTCCACCCCATGTCTTCCATTAATCTGAGGTAGACTTAGTCACCCCAATAGTTATTTTTTTAATTAATTAATTTCAATATAGTGTTTGTTTTTTTTACCCTTGGGGACATAAAGAACTTTTACTGCTGTTGGGGCAGCAGCCTTGGGCACACTAATACATACATACATACATACATGTATGCCCATTAGATCATGGAGCTGCCCATTAGATACATGTATGCCCATTAGATCATGGAGCTCTCAGTTGGTCAAACAAAGCGATATTAGAACAATATCCCCCCACTTCGTATCCAGCTTTAAAACACAAGAACAATCATATGGATCAAACCAACCTACCCCCTGTTGGTAATATACACCGATCAGCCATAACATTACCACCACTGATAGGTGAAGTGAATTGCAATGCAGTGTGGTGCTTTGGGCAATGTTCTGCTGGGACACCTCGGGTCCTGACATTCATGTGGATGTCACTTTGACACGGACCACCGACCTAAACATTGTTACTGACCAAGTCCCCCCCTTCATGGAGACAGTATTCCCGGATGGCAGTGGCCTCTTTCAGCAGTATAATGCATCCTGTCACATGTTCAGGAATGGTTTGAGGAACACAACAACGAGTTTGAGGTGATAATTTGGCCTCCAAATTCTTCAGATCTCAGCCCAATCGATCATCTGTGGGATGTGCTGGAAGAACAAGTCCGATCCATGGAGGCCGATCACCTCACAACTTACAGGATTCAAAGGATCTGCTACTGACAGCTTGATGCCAGATACCACAGCACACCTTCAGAGTTCCAGTGGAGTCCATGCCTGGACGGGTCAGGAAAAAAGTGGCCTACTCAATATTAAGCGGGTGGTCATAATGTTATGGTTGATCGGTGTATATGGTGGAGATGTTGGTAGGTTACCTCAGTTTGTTTCATTTTCTTATTGACTACAAGCTGATTGAAAGGTGTTGAAGTTCTTGATTTCCAGACATCGGTGGAATTTTAACTTTGACAACTTTACTCATCTGCTCAGTATGACCAGTAAGATATATACGGGGAAAATCTTCCTCCAAAGAGTATTGGACTAATGGAATCTGGTGTCGGAGATCAAAGCATTTATCAAATCCAATGTACAGAAGTCATCCCCTTCTTATATGTCTTGGATATTCCAACAGAGAGATCTCCCGGCCATAATCCTTGACTGCTGATTAGTTGATTAGTGAACTGGTCTGGGTTTGGTTCTGTTGGAGTTTTGCCCGAACACAGCCAGAAATCTGGATTCATCCAACCAAAACCCAAGGCTGCCTTTGCCCAAGCAACCAATGACGGGGTGTGAGCATCCTAGCAACATTATGGTTGCTAGGATACTAGTGGCTGGGCTGCACGGCGTTGTTGCTTTCTAGCACACAGGCAGGCACACATAGCAACCAATGACCAATGACGCTGTGGGGCCACTAACATTTTAGCAATGACCTTGTGTAGTCCACACAGCATTATTTGTTCCTGAGATGCTGGGGGCCCCACAGCATCATAAGTTAATATGGTGCACCCACCTGCATCCTAGTGAGCAATGACGCTGTGCGGGCCAACCACCAGTCATCTGATGTCATGCTCATTGGTTGCTAGGACACAGATAGAGGTTTGGTGGACGGGCAAACTGGCCAAATCGTTCATCTTTTAGGCAAAATGTTGGCAGCTTGGCTTCATGGTTGGACTCATGGTTGACCCAATCCCTGTTCCTCACTCCCTGGGAGGTTTGGGTGTTCCCGCCCACCTTTGTGTGTTGCCATGTATATCCCCCTGGGTAGCTACTCCAATAGATGCAGAGGAGGACTTGGCAGGGGGTAGAAGGGCATTTGCACCCTAGGCCAAGATAAATTATATATGTTGGGCTGGTGGCCCTAAGTGCCCTAAGTGGTGATACCTCCCCATTCAGACATCAGTCAAAGAACGACCCGGAGTCAGTGACCCCTCCCCCCCCGGTGGGCATTATATGGTGTAGCTGCCTGTTCCCCATCAGACCTGCAACCACAGCGCCCGACAGAGGGAAGTCTCTGACACCAGAACAAGTGTCCCCATTGAAAGATTTCCCATCTTATCCTGTTCTGGTGACAACCCAAATCTTGGATAGAGGGAAGGATCAGAACCCCTGTCTGGTTTTTACTGCCATCCGAGGCTTAATTGAAGAGATTTCCCCTCACTTCCTGTCCTGCTAACAATGGTTTCATCAGACAGGAAATGAGAATAATTCTCCAAAGCAGCACAGCCCGAAACTAAAAAAGGGATTAGTATTTGTGTCCATCCAGTCCTGAAATTTAAACAGCTCTGCCACACAGGAAAGCCCTATGTGGCAGGGCAGGAGACCGGATTTTTCCTTCCTGTAGTTGCGCAAAACACTTACCGTTTTCCTCCCCAGCCCCGTGATTGGGCAGTGAGAGGAGAAGCAGCAGCCTGATGAGCTCATCTCTCTGTCACTCTGCTTTCTCCTCCTATCAGCGTTGCCTCATTGTGCTGCTTCTCCCTTTCCATGTCTGAGCTTTGCTGTACAGGGACTGCAAAAGCCTGATACCAAGTCAGGTATTTACACTGCTTGCATTGAAAATGATAATACGTTGGAGGATGTATTGGTGAATACAGCGTTGTGTCTTTTATATCTGTCTGCAGTCCAGCTTTACATGGGCTCTGGCAGGGTTGGGGGCTGGGCACTGCTTGTATTTTTGCCTTCGTTTCTGATTGTGGTTTGTCTCCCGCAGGGGCAGTTCTCGATGTCACGCTGGTGTCAGTTGCCTCCGAGCACCGCCGGGCCAATTTGACTCTGTCATGTATCACCGGAGAGCGGGAAATGCAAAGTTCGGACTTGAGCATTGAGCGGGATAATACCATCGTGAAGATCGCTCCCATAGCGCCCTCCCATACCAGATCGCATGACAATGAACTGCAGGTCAGATTCACCTCCAAGGCCTTGGTGGGAGTGTTTTTTTGCATCGCCAAGGGCCCGACTGAGCAAACCAAAATCCTCTACCCCTACAACAGTCCCTCTGGTAAGTCTCTGTACCGTCCTGTCACAGCTTGTGCCCACTTCCGAGCAACGGCTGGCAACCTTGGCACTAGAGTTGCCACCTTTTCTTTAAGCGAAACCCGAACACTCAAGCGACGTGTAGACATTTTTTTTTGGAGAATGAGTGGCGGCTTATTGGTATGTAAATAGCTTCACCCATTCATATGTAAATATCATAGTTGACACTATTTTCAGTGGGGGACCAGTAGCCCCTATCCTAATTTTGGTTGCCCCTGTCTGCCTGACATCTTGTGTCCGGGTTTCTGCTGCCATGAAACCCGAACACAGCATTCAAAATCCGAACTGTCCGGGTGAATCCTGTACAGGTGGCAACCCTACTTGGCACCCCCAGCTGTGGGGAAACTACAAATCATGTCATGCCTTTGTAAGCCATGTGTAATTCATCATTGGACTTGTAGTTCCACAAGAGGGTTACGTTACCATTAACCTCCGCTTCCCAGTGACAGCCCTTGGACCCTGCGTCACGTACTACAGACCCCTGCATCATTTACTACTGACCCCTGACCCTGCGTCACTTACTACTGACCCCTGAACCCTGCGTTACCACTGACCTCTGAACACTGTGTCACTTACTACTGACCCCTGCGTTATTTTCTACTGACCCCTGAGTCACTTACCACTGACCCCTGTGTTACTTCTGACCCCTGAGTCACTTACTACTGACCCCTGAGTCACTTACTACTGACCCCTGAACCCTGTGTTATTTACTACTGACCCCTGCATCATTTACTACTGACCCCTGAACCCTGTGTCACTTACTACTGACCCCTGAATCACTTACTACTGACCCCTGAACCTTGTGTCACTTACTACTGACCCCTGCGTTATTTTCTACTGACCCCTGAATCACTTACTACTGACCCCCGAACCCTGTGTTATTTACTGCTGACCCCTGAGCCCTGTGTTACTTAATACTGACCCCTGAACCCTGCGTTACTTACTACTGACCCCTGAACCCTGTGTTACTACTGACCCCTGTGTCACCTATTACTGACCCCTGAATCTTGCGTTACTTACTACTGACCCCTGAACCCTGTGTTACTTCCTGCTGACCCCTGAACCCTTTGTCACTTACTACTGACCCCTGAACCCTTTGTCACTTACTATACTGACCCCTGAACCCTGGATGGTGATGTCCAGGGAAGACATTTTCACTGATGGTGGACTTCGCTGATAGAGGAAGGGTCCTAATAACAGGAAATGATTAGGGGTCTCACTGCAGAAAACAAGAGGAAGTCTACAGAACACCAGACAGCTGATGTCTGAAAACCACGGGGCCACACACGGCTCAAATTTTGGCCAAATCAGCATTCGAACTTTGACCAGTGTATGGCCAGCATAAGGCTTGATGTCTTCCAGGATTTATTGGAGATCTTGTTATCGTATTAGAATTTAGAATCTCAGTAAAGAGTTTCCGAAACCAAAAAAAACCAATAGAAACTGGTGAAAACCAAAGATTATGTTCTGCCTCTGTCTTTTGTGGTGGTGTTGAGGTCATGGCCTGACTTAAAGACACAACATTCAATTTCCATGACTTTGGACGTCATTGTAATCGTATTCTTTGGAAACAACTTTCCTTTAATCAGCATTTGCCCAGAGAAGACTGTACACAGACCATTCTCTTCTTCTGACGGGTGTCGGGCATTCCTGTTGTGATCTTCCCTTCTCTGATTGAGATTTCCTTCCTCTTCTCGGGGTCTCTGCCTTGTAAAGTAACGTTGATGGCATCTGAGGCCTGAGAGATGATAGAGAGTGGTGGCGGGTTCTCGGAGAAATCCCGCTTCACTTTCACAGTTCCTGGGATGGTGATGGCTAAGGAAGACATTTTCACTGATGGTGGACTTCGCCGATAGAGGAAGGGTCCTAATAACAGGAAATGATTAGGGGTCTCACTGCAGAAAACAAGAGGAAGTCTACAGAACACCAGACAGCTGATGTCTGAAAACAACCAGATTAGAGATTGTATCCAAACATGTACGCTATGGTGAATATTGAATGTTCAGTAGAGTGCGCTTGTTTTTTTTTTTATGTGAACCAGAGCCGTAGTTAGCTCCTTTTGCGCCTGAGGCAAGAACAGAAAATTGTGTCCTCTCCAGAAAATTGTGCCCCCCCCCCGTTGTGGGGGCTTTAGGGGAAATATTAGAGGTCTAAACATGCCCCTGACATTTCCCTTTTGAAATTGAAAAAGAGATTGAGGACACAAAGTCCTCTGTCCATACAGGCGGGGGAGAAACGGGGATCCGAGGAGAAGCTAGAGCCTGTGCCGCTCCTCGTCTCCCTGATGAGCCGCGGCTGTGTTGGCTGCCTGGCACCCCTGTTGCCAATGGCGCCCTGTGCTCACCTTGGCAAAAGGGGCAAGGGGGCGCAGCCAGGCCAGCCCTGGCTACGCCCCCTCTCAGCTGTGCCTGAGGCGAGTGCCTCACTCGCCCCATGGTAGCTACAGCCCTGATTTGAACCACTTAAAGTGTATGTCGGGACAAAAAAAAAAACATCAGTACATCTCGGCTCTTTAAAGTGTTTTTTTTTTGCATGGAAATGGTCTTAAAAAATCTTGCAAGCAAATGCTCTTCCTACATTTGCTACACACCGCTGTTTGCCCGGTCCACATCTAGTCGGCAGTGGTGGCGAACCTTGGCACTCCAGCTGTTCCAAAACTACAAATCCCAACATGCATCTGCCTCTGGGAGTTATGTCCGTGGCTGTCAGAGCCTTGCAATGCCTCATGGGACTTGTAGTTCCAAAACAGCTGGAGTGCCAAGGTTCGCCACCACTGGTCTAGGGGGTTGATTTCCAGCTGCGCCCATTAGAACTGACCGTCCCTCTTCTGGTGCCCATAAATTGACGTCCACCCCAGTAGTAGAGTGCTAAGTAAACTGTTTATTGAACATCTTCTGTGGGGAGAGAGGATAGAGGGGTTCTAGGTGTCTAGGGGTAACCATCAGAAGCTCCAGACTCACCGGACCTTGTAAAAGTAGCAATGGAGATCCACTCGACCACATCACATCACCACTGATGTACCAGACAGTCCAGATGGATGCAGAGATCACAGGAAAGATACCGACCATACTCTGAAGCCCACATAGTTCCAGGGAGCCTCAAGAGCCTGCACTGGTCCTTATTATCTTCCTCTTCTCATCTCTCAGGCCTTCTCCATGTTGGAGGCCTCAGGGAAACCTTTTCCCTCACTCCAGCCCATGCCCACCCCCAGGCCTCGGCCTAGCCTGGGGGGCAGACTGAACAGGACCCCAGCCCTAATCCATGGCTAGTCCCGACGAGAGAGAGAGAGCACATGGCAGCTCCCACCCATATATGTACCTTATCCCAGCATGCACCACTGGCTGAGAGGGGCCCAGTGATTGGCTGCTGTACTGTACACACATTACAGTATCCACCATTGGCTGTCCCACAATATGACAGAGTCTCACTCTGCCCAGGGGGGTGCAGGTAAGGCTAGACACCTGGGATTAACCATATAGTTGCCACTACAAATCCAGCCAGGCTGTCTACAGCCCCGGCCATCACTAAATGCTTAGTAGTCAAATCACAAAAGGTGTTAAATGAACAATTCAGCATGAGATAATAAACCAGTGCTCCCCAACCTTTTTATCGCCGTGGACTGGTCAACGTTTGATAATTTTACCGCGGCCCGCTGAGGGGGGGACGTTGATTGTTTATATTTTAGATTGTTTTGATTTAATAATTTTAATTTGTGCTGTCAGTGCCATTATTTTCTAATGGCACCACAGTCGTGCCAGGCAGATTGAGCGTTTTCCTGCTGCAATACAGCCCTGCCCGTGCGGTTGCACACAATCGCAGTTGAAAACACTGCGCGTTTATTCGCGTGCAGATGGGGGGAGGGGGACTGGTTTTCGTTTATTACATTTTTATTTACTTTGGAAACATTTTGTTTGTTTTATTATTTTTATTTTTTACATTTTTATTTTGTTACGTTTTTAATATTTTTTACTATTTATTTTTTAAACTTAACTGTATTGCTATTACACTGAAATTTGGATAATAGCCCTGCTAATGCGACATACCGATAGAGCACTGCACATAGGACCTATATTTAAATATGATTTAAAGCTTGAGGAACACAAACAGTAAAGACTTATTATATCATATTTGGTATTTTTGTTTAAGAAAAATATGGTGATCAGGGCAATCAGGGGCGCCTTTCCTAATTTGCTAACCAATCGCTGGCCAGAATGAGGGAAGCGCGCTTTCACTATCGATTCCTCACAGGCGGAGTGCATTTGGTATCACTCCGCCTGTGACAGGAGCCGGCGCCATAGAGGAGGCATCGGCTTATGCGGCTCTGCTCCCTGCTCTGCCGCCTCGCTTCCTCTAGCGCTGGCTTAGTTGGCACCGCTGATTCTCTCCCGCCTCTCCCGCGGCTCTTCAAGTTCCCCCTTATGCCACCACCGGCCCTGGGAATGGTCATAACTAGGTCTTTTTTTCGGGGTAGGTCTTATATTTTAGCTATTCCAAAAAATAGTACTAGGTCTTATTCTCAGGGAAACAGGGTATTTATTTTTAAACTTAACTGTATTGCTATTACACAGGGGTTAACAAATCCCCTGTGTGATAACATTTGGAGGTGACAGGTACACTTTATTCAACCTGTCACCTCCAACACAGGAGTTCTAGCAGGCACTGTTGCTAGAACTCCTGTGTGACAGGAACGAGCAGCAGCCGCTGAGGACAGAGGCTGAGGGAGGTGACAGAGTCTGTCACTACTCCACACCCCCGCTCTGAGCGCTCCACAATTGGCCCTAACTGAAATTCCCACCAGTGACGTGCTGGGAGGGCCAAAGGTTAGAGAAAGAGTACAAATTGCAAATTGGTGTCATTGGTAAGAAATATGAATGAAATGACAACTTGTAATATTTTATAATTGTCATGGTTAATACAAAAGAATTTTAAAAAAATGCTGCAGGCACGGAAAGATACCCGGTGATCCTACCAGAACTCCTGTGATCTCCTAACTTCCTGTAGTGAGCTGACAACACTGCCTCTGCTGCACTGATTTACCAACCAGTGTTGTCACCTATAGTCTTTAATTTGAGGGAAATAAACGAATTAGAGTATGGAACCCATCTATCAAACCCAAAATATTGGGCTGGCAGCTTCTAGACATTGGACTGCTGGAACCAGGGGTGGTGTGAATATGGAGAATGTTGGGCTGGCACCTTCTAGATGTTGGGTTGCTGGAACCAGCGGTGGTGTGAATATGGAGAATGTTGGGCTGGCACCTTCTAGATGTTGGACTGCTGGAACCAGCGGTGGTGTGAATATGGAGAATGTGGGGGCTGGCACCTTCTAGATGTTGGGCTGCTGGAACCAGCGGTGGTGTGAATATGGAGAATGTTGGGCTGGCACCTTCTAGATGTTGGGCTGCTGGAACCAGCGGTGGTATGAATATGGCTGGCAGCTTCTACAGCATCTGACAGTCCACAAAAATCCGCTGTCAGCCCACAGCAGGTCTTAAAGAGACCCTGTCACCAGACCATTTATTTCAACAAAAATCTTCTTTTACTGATGTTGTTTATTTGTAGAAGCCTCCCTTGTTCGAATATTCAAAAGCCCAAAGACGTCTGCCAGATGCTGCCATCTTGGATGCCAAGCAGGCTGAGACCTTTTACTCAAGTGACACTCTATAGTGTCCTCTGGGCCAGCACTGACAGTAATTAGACACTTCCATTAAGGGGTCAGGGCTGTGATCTTCTATGGCGAAGGAGGGGGCTGGGCTATTGAGGATTAATAGAGAATCGACTCTTCCTGGAGCAGTCAAATTTTCTAGCAAGTTCCAAGTCAAATTGCAAGTAAATGAAAATGGTAATTTTTTTTTTCAACCTCCCCAGAGTTCCAACTCAACAAAATATCGGACCTCATGGTCCTGTCTTCTAATATGTTGTCAAAAAAGGGGTAAATTAACTCTTTGAATACTTATTGTGGCTGTTTTTATTTCCTCAGCTGATCTGACACCTTTGAGAGTGACTGTAACCGTCAGCATCAACCAAGATGCCAACTTAGAGGCCAAAGTGACAAAGGCATCACATGCAGATATTATGTGGAAATATAATGGTAAGGATGGGGGGAGGGGGGTAATTTGAGTCTATATATTGCCAAGGCTATTCTAAGGCACCCAGAACCCCCAAACACCTTTGTAAAATATGTATTTTGGTCCTCTGGTGGGACACAACAATGTAAGCATTGCTTTAGGCTGATGATGTTATAAGTAGGGATCTGGTCCGAACCTGAGCTCTTCTAAACAGGGAAGGAGCCCCTGCAAACACGGAAGGAAGCTTCTTCTGCTGATGCCCAACCAGCTGCAGCTGGGGAATTCCCTGCCTGCAGCTGCCGGTAAGTTAAGAGGTGGGATGGAGTGACATTGTATGGCCACATGGCTCTATTTGGCCAATGACATTGACCTAATATGGCCATGTGACGATATAAGGTCAATGACATCAGCATAAGCATCCATTTATTTATGTGAAGCTGCGGGGTGGGAAATGCTCCAGCCTGCAGCTGATTGGGTAGGTGGCCCATAGCACTTCCCAGTTCAGAGGAGCTCAGGTTTGGACTGGGTTTGGTTTGAACTTGAGCTCATATCTAGTTTTAGGTATATGTAGGGGCCCAAGCTGGTGTGTCCCTCACTAAATTTAGTGTGTTTTGCAGCTAGTCTGTAACCAGCCTGAGCTCTTTTTACTATATTCTGGACTCTTCTGGTTCTCCTTCAGTCAGCATGTTCATTGATTTTGCCTGTTACTGCTGAGAAGGTTCCAGTAATCAGAGTGGGAAGGACAATCACAAAGTTGTGAATATTTGACTGACCCAACCAATCCCCGAGGTCTTTGTTCAGAGGTATGGTTTGGACAGACAATAAATATTTGGGAGCACCTTTCCATAGTGTACCTCATGGGCTTCTGCCTGGAGAAGGATGTCCACTTCAGGGGTGTCAAATTCAATTTAATTGTGGGCCGCATCAACATTATGGTTGCCCTCAAAAGGCCTGTAAAACTATATAAATGTATCTAATGTTTATCATAATTGCCTCTGCATTCCATTATCACTGGTTTTAGTAATAACTTAATACCTAGATCTGAAAGTAGAAGTCTAGGAAATGGCCTGGCGGGCCGGATTCGGTCCCTGGGCCTTGAGTTTGACACATGTGACTTAGAGTGTCTATGTACTAGGGCCTAACCTCAGCCTAGGACATGTGCTGGAGGCCCAGAACTTAAGCTGGATTATATCTCTGGAGGTAGCTGGGCTTACAAAGAATTTTCTTTCTGAAGAGTTTCATGGAAGAGCTAGGTGGAAGGTACTGTTGGACATGGTAAGAATGAGTCATCACACATTCAGATCAAGGTATTTGTTGACTGCGATCAGAGGGTCAAGAGCCAGACTGATTTGAGTGGTCTACTGCAACTCAAGAAGCTGTGACTGCTCTTACTGGGTCATGGATCTGTCTGGTTTCTCTCACAGGACCAACAAATCCCCAGGGGCTTATCTTAAAAGGCCTACAACTATAAATACTACAACCCGAATACATGTCCTATTCTTGTGTTACTTTTTGGTATTCTGCACTCTGAACCCTCTTACCTAGAATTTAGTTCAGCAGTAAAAGGTAAAAAGACTAAAATAACTGGTGCTCAACTCATTTTTCATCCCACCATACAACAAGAACCAGACCCTGGGATGGGAACCTTAGGCCTGTCAGACTACTTAGGAGGCCATTCCGCACCCAATTATATATATATATATGTATATATATATATATATATATGTGTATATATATAGTATATATCATTCTTTATATATTCCTCTCTTGGGTTTGCTGATTTTTACCCCGGACATCTGGACTCAGCGGCCCCAGTGATTGGTCCTCTAGAGTCAGCAGTCCATGCAAACAAAGCTTTGTTGTAATCCATTGCCATTCCCATTCTAGGAACGTTTTTCCAGAACACCTACAAGAACGAGATCAGTGACATGATCGCTCGGCTTACTCTCCAAAATGTGCAGCTTAGTCAGGCGGGAGTGTACAGCGGAGGGTTCACAGGAGCAACACCCCTGGCCAACGCCTTCTTCAGACTCATCGTACGAGGTCAGCATTAAGGACAATGATTCCTGTAAGCACTGGGCCTCCTGATTTCTACTTTTCTGACATTCTTTCACCTTCTTCTTTCCTCTCCACACGCAGGGTGCCCAGAGAACAAGTGGGGGCCATCTTGCCAGAAGGATTGCCTTGGGTGCCTAAATGGTGGAGTTTGTCATGACGTGAGCGGGGAGTGTATTTGTGCCCCGGGATTCATGGGAACCCGCTGTGAGAAGGGTAAGTCAAGTTCCTTTTAGATTCCGGGTATCTATTGGCTTTGGAGAGATCTCTTCTTACTTCCTTCTTTATCCTTAGGACAGGAAGTGAAGGAAAAGCTCCCCAATGGGAAACAGAAAGCAAAAAATAACAAAACCTGACAGAGGTCTTAACCAGACTCTATCCTAACTTAAAATAAAAGATTTTGGCTTCACATACACTATGGGGTCTAATTATAAACAATTAGCTGAGTCATTTGCCTTGAGAATATCTATGAACGTTCGCTCTGTGTGAATATGTGCCAAAACAAATGTTCTTTAGTTTATTCTTTACAAGTGGAATGATATTTTGAATATTTTCATGTAATATCACATTATGTCCACTAGATGGAGCTAACGGAGCATAGGAAATAAGTATTCATTTTCTGTGCCCCTCAGCGCCATCTAGTGGTCATAATGTGGCATTACATACACACACACAAAATCAAAAATACATTCCCGTGTTCGTTTTAGCATGTCAGCACAGAAGGAACCTTTATAGATATAACGCAGCAGTAATGGCCATGTGAATAGTCTATAAATAGACCCCTTTAAGTCAGCTACTCATTGGCTAAAGTAAACAACAAATAACTGTACACAATGAAGGAATGAATGGATACATGAATGAGCTGCTCTGTTTTACAGCCTGCAGAGAGGGGAACTTCGGCAGAAACTGTCAGGAAACATGTAAGAGGGACCAGGGCTGTAAGGGGCTCACCTTCTGCCTGCCGGACCCCTATGGATGTTCCTGTGGAAGCGGCTGGACCGGCGCCCATTGTCAAAAAGGTACAGAAGTCATTGTGCTCTCTCTCTCATTGTACCATATAAGATATTAATGAAAGAAGATGTTCAGTTTTGTATGGTCCATATGTGTAGACCATTCATGACGAAGACTGAAGGATAAACTCTATGGCCAAGAGTTTGTGGACCATCACACAAAGTATAGGCAATCCGCTTTCCCCCAAAAAAGTTCAGAGTTCAGGTGTTTCTAGTGGTTTGACCAGTTTGGTGTGGAGGACCTCAAGTGTCCTACACAGAGCCCTGACCTCAACCCAACAGGACACCTTTAGGAGGCCAACTATGAGCCGGTTCTTCTCATCCAACATCAGTACCTGACCTCACAAATTATTTTCTGACTGCATGGGCGCAATTCTCCACCTCAGGGTCTGCTGGCTTCACCTTAGAGTATTTAAGAAACCCTGGAGGTAAATACCTCCCTATGAATATATGCTCCCTATGACTCCCTATGACTACCAGGGCCGGATTTATTCTCTATGGTGCCCCAAGGCCAGGTTCCTCAATGCGCCCCCCTACCTATCAACCCCCTCATGGAGTGATCTTGGCGAGATGGCCAAGATCACATGTACAAAACGAGACCCCCCCCCCCCCCCCCCCCCATGGAGAATGGCAGACCTGCAGGCTACATGCAAGTGATCTCGGTGACATCGCCGGGATCGCTTGTACAAAACAAGCGGCGGCTTGTTGCCCGCTGTACATTTAGCTCTGCTTGCCCAAAGCAGGGCTAAATGTATAAAACAACTACCCGCCCTGCACCCGAAACTGCATGTCCCGGGCGTCGGGAGATAGGAATTCCACACCCCTTCTGCCCCTCTACTCCCTGCTGCCCCAAGGCCGGACCTTGGTTGGCCTTGTGGGAAAACCGGCCCTGATGACTACACGATTGGGATGCTGGCTCAGAGATGGCACAATCATGTGTGCACAAATGTCTTATATAGATCAGCCCCTGCTGGATCCTCTCACCCTGTGACTTGCTACAAAGTTACAATGTTGCAGGCTGATCACTGGGGGAGGGGAGACTGAGGAAATGCTTCCTCCTGCCTACAGCAGACTGATCACTGGGGGAGGGGAGACAGAGGAAATGCTTCCTCCTGCCTACAGCAGTCTGATCACTGGGGGAATGGAGACTGAGGAAATGCTTCCTCCTGCCTGCAGCAGACTGATCACTGGGGGAGAGGATACTGAGGAAATGCTTCCTCCTGCCTACAGCAGACTGATCACTGGGGGAGGGGAGACAGAGGAAATGCTTCCTCCTGCCTACAGCAGACTGATCACTGGGGGAGGGGAGACAGAGGAAATGCTTCCTCCTGCCTACAGCAGGCTGATCACTGGGGGAGGGGAGACAGAGGAAATGCTTCCTCCTGCCTGCAGCAGACTGATCACTGGGGGAATGGAGACTGAGGAAATGCTTCCTCCTGCCTGCAGCAGACTGATCACTGGGGGAGGGGAGACTGAGGAAATGCTTCCTCCTGCCTGCAGCAGACTGATTACATCATCTCGGCCTAAACAAAGTCACCGACTGGAGCTCAGGGGTGGATTTTCAATAATAAAAGGTGGAGCTTTTCTGAAAATGGATACTATTATTGTATATATTAACACTAGGAATGTATTCACGCAGACATACAATGTCATTTGACTCTCATTTACATATTGGCAGAATGTCCTGCTGGAACATACGGAGCAAACTGTGCCCTGAGATGTGAGTGTGAAAGCGGAGGCTCCTGTAACAGGTTTAGCGGCTGTGTCTGCGCCAATGGTTATCACGGACAACATTGCGAGAAGTCAGGTAATATCTCCAATCACTGTCTGTAAACAAAAGTGTGGTATCCGAGCTCCCAAGTGTCAGAGTGTCATTGTTCTGGGGCCCCAAGTGTCAGAGTGTCATTGTTCTGGGGCCCCAAGTGTCAGAGTGTCATTGTTCTGACACCAATAAATGACAATGTTCCATTGTTCTAGACTAGAGCCCCTATCATCATTGTGTTTGCGTTGTGAAATTCCTAAGTGTCAGTGTGTCATTGTTCTGGGGCCCCAAGTGTCAGTGTGTCATTGTTCTGGGACCCCAAGTGTCAGTGTGTCATTGTTCTGGGACCCCAAGTGTCAGTGTGTCATTGTTCTGGGACCCAAGTGTCAGGGTGTCATTGTTCGGGGACCCCCAAGTGTCAGGGTGTCATTGTTCGGGGACCCCCAGTGTCATTGTTCTGGACCCCCAGTGTCAGTGTGTCATTGTTCTGGACCCCCAAGTGTCAGTGTGTCATTGTTCGGGGACCCCCAAGTGTCAGTGTGTCATTGTTCGGGGACCCCCAAGTGTCAGTGTGTCATTGTTCGGGGACCCCCAAGTGTCAGTGTGTCATTGTTCGGGGACCCCCAAGTGTCAGTGTGTCATTGTTCTGGGATCCCCCAGTGTCAGTGTGTCATTGTTCTGGGTCCCCCAAGTGTCAGCGTGTCATTGTTCTGGGTCCCCAAGTGTCAGTGGGTTATTGTTCTGGGATCCCCCAGTGTCAGCGTGTCATTGTTCTGGGTCCCCAAGTGTCAGCGTGTCATTGTTCTGGGTCCCCCAAGTGTCAGCGTGTCATTGTTCTGGGTCCCCAAGTGTCAGTGTGTCATTGTTCTGGGATCCCCCAGTGTCAGTGTGTCATTGTTCGGGGACCCCCAAGTGTCAGTGTGTCATTGTTCGGGGACCCCAAGTGTCAGTATGTCATTGGGTTTGCATGGCTGCTGTCTGGTTGACCCACCAGTGCAATAACTGAATTAGGGATGTCACCATCACTGCTGCAGTAACACAGAGGATTGGGGGAAAGATCCATAAGATCCGGTTCTGTAAGTCCAGTGAAGATTGGGAGCAGGAACAGTCGAAGCCGGTATCCACATTTTTACATTTCATTCATTTTTTTTTCTTCTTGATTGCAGATCATCATCCTCAGATCATCGATCTTCCATCTCAGGTGGAGTTCAATCTAAATTACACAGCCGTGCTGACGTGTGCCGCCTCTGGGAACCCCCAGCCCGTCCTGGGGAGTATAGTACTACGCAGACCCGATGGATCGGTCATCACGGTAAGCCGCCGGTCATTTATTAATTTTTTGCATTTTTTTGTAACGTTTAAATATTTCTAAACTCATAGTTTATATTTTTCCATTTTTTGAAATGAAAATTTTTTTGGGGGCAAATATTCATTCCGGGGTGCATAGGATCCATAGGGCACTATGAGTTTTCCAAAGAGATAACATAACAGAAGGTGTTTACCTTCAGACTCTCTTTTTCATTGTCTTGCTTGTAATAATTCTAGCTTGAGCTACTGAGCTCTCTAACAACGGGATTTTGTGTTTAAAGGAGAACTATGAGGGGGGGGGGGCTTTTCACTCACTTCATAGTTCTAGCCGACCTGTGACAATGAGACTGTCACAGCTCAGCTCAGTAGATCGGGAGGTGAGCGAACACACACCGGCTCTCTGCCGTGACAGGGGAGGGGCTGGATTCCTCCCTCCCCGCTCTGATCTGCCAGCGATGACTGGCGGAACGGACGGGGCGGGTACAGCTGGCTCTGCCTCTAGATAGGCAGAGCCAGCTGTCAGTCACGCAGCTGGGCGGATCCTGGCATAATTGTCGGGATCCGCTTCAGCTGCGGCGTCTCAGTATAGTAGCTCGCGGTATACTGCGGTCTCAGTATAGTAGCTCGCGGTATACTGCGGCGTCTAAGTATACCGCGAGCTAAAGCTCGCGGTATAGTGAGCCTAGGGTGACGGGAGGACGCTAGTTTGTGTCCTCCCGTTACCCTAAGGAGAACTATGGGGAAAAGCCTTAACCCCATAGTTCTCCTTTAACAGGAAAGAAGTATTTATTTTCTAGCGCCAGCTAGTGGCCATAATGTGGTATATCTGCACAGATCAAACATTCACAGACTTTTTATCAATAGACCCCCTTGACTTTTTTACACACACATAAAACCTACCCAAAGTGCCCATCTAAGGTGATCCAAATATCCAAAGGTATTCCACTATTACCATTAATACCTTTACAGGATATCTCCTCACCTGTTTTTTTTTGTTAAATAACAGCACCGTTCTCTATGTATGCAGTATATAGTACAGGAAATACATTGCTCGTATCCACATATATGCAATAATGTTGCTACACCCCGAAGGTTATTACATTATCAATCATATCTCTTTTTCTCACTTCCTGTCCCTCGATCTAAACCTTCTCTCCAACGTCCTCTTTGTTTCAATCTCTCGCTCTCTATTTCTGTGTCTCTCTCTCTTTCTCCCTCTCCCCCTTCCACAGGCCAGCAATGCCCTCCTGGACTCAGAACGTAGCACTTGTACCTTCACCATACCCACCATGACTCTGAATGACAACGGATTATGGGAGTGCCGTGTGTCTACCAGTGGTGGGCAGGACAATCGTAAATTTCGCGTAGAAGTCAAAGGTAAGACAGTTCGGCCTTCCAGTTTTTCAGTGACATCAAAGACCGACACTCAAATCGCACATTGTCTCATCGTCTGTAACTGGCATTTGTAGACCTTTCCACCAGCTCATGATCTGAAAATATGTACATCACCAATGGCTTCCTGTTGCTGGGTCATATGGATGCTGAGGTGTGTCCTAGGGTCAGGTGAACGCCAACGGAACACACCGGGTCACACGGTTGAAGTGTATCTGAAGTCCAAACTTTTTTATTTTTTATTTTGGGACAGAGTGGTGCGGGCTTTGATCCTATCACATACCTGATTGGAGACTGGATGGGTGAGGAGGCTTCCCTTGCACCTCGTGTCCCAAAGACTGTGGGGTTGGGAACAGAATCTGAGTGGACAGCGAGCGGCACAGGTGCCACCGGGGGCCCGGATTTCCCACAAGGCCAACTGAGGCCCGGCCTTGGGGCAGCAGGGAGTAGGGGGGCAGCAGGGAGTAGAGGGGCAGCAGGGGTGTGGAATTCCTATCTCCCGATGCCCGGGACATGGAGTTTCAGGCGCCGGGCGGGTAGTTGTTTTCTACATTTATCGCTGCTTTAGGCAAGCAGAGCTAAATGTACAGCGGGGAAGCCGCCGCTTGTTTTGTACTTGTGATCCCGGTGAGGTCGCCGAGATCACTTGTATGCAGCCTGCATCTGGCGTCAATTAGATGACTGCGCATGCGCGGTGACATCATGGTGGGGTGTCACCCTGTCCCTGCTCCTGGGTGGCACCCGGCCTTGGGATGCCCCTGCCGATGCCCGCGCGCATGGAAAACGGGACCGTGCACATACTCAGTAACAGATGGTTTCTTACAGATCCTCTGTCAGGCTTTAATTAAGTAATTAGTTTATCAGTGTCCCCATTGGGGAGATACTTGCCCTCTCTATGTCTCCTGGTGGCCATCGCCACTGGGACTAAAAGTGAGGGGAAATCCAAAAATTTGGAGTTGACACCAGAACTGGAGTAGAGGGGAAAGCTTGGGACTGGGGACACCTCACCTGTGTGACAACTGTCCAAGGCAACCACCCTGTGTCAATCGGGGACAACCAGTCTCCTCCCACTTTGGAGAGATTGCCCCTTACTTCCTCTTGTGTCTAGATGTCAATAAGTGTAGACAAAAAAAAGTCCTGACTGGGGTTTTAACCCTTCCCTACTCTATCTGAAATTCCAACAAAAAGTTTTGGCTTTAGATATTAAAACTTTTTCAGGATTCTTGACACTGTGACCAGTTGTTGTTTAAACATATACATATAATTCTTATATTGTTTGGCCTGCAGTGCCACCGGCCCCCTTGGAACCGCCACGTCTACTGGAGAGGCGCAGCAGACAGCTCATCATGGCGCCACTTCATCACTTTTCTGGAGATGGGCCCATATTATCCATCAAGGTGCTATACCAACCCATGGGCATGAAATCTGACCGGCAGAGCCTAATAGGTAAAACAATTACTGTACATTTCACACTAACTTTACTAGCACAAAAGGTTTTGCCGGGAGACATTGAAACCGACAATGACAATGCATCCGGACTGATGACTATGTCACTGTGTCTGCTGTAACATAATGATCAAATATAGGCTGGAAGCCTCACTGTCACAAAAAAAAAATTCAGTCTGCAGACGCCACTGCAGCCTGAAAGTGGCAATGTGTGTCTGTTTAATATTGCACTTGTTAGATACAATTACAGTATAAATAAAAATACATTAAAATGTATTTATTTACAGTCCTGTGTAGTTGTCAATCTGCTATAAAAAATACCAGAGAAGACCAGGAAAAGCTTCATATGTCCGCATACAAATTAGTCATGGAGTCATTGTGAATGTAACGGCCGCTACTGATAAATGTGGTGCATCTGGGCATCACCAGTCTCTGGTCATAAAGCGGTCAGTCCGTCTGGTTGCTTGTCAGCATAACTGTCCATCCCACCAAACCCGACATATGGCAGTTTAAAGCACGTTTCAGTATTTATAACATGTATGTGATATGACTGATACCCATATATGGCAGCTACATGATGAAGGAATTCCGTCTACTAACATCCTAACATTGTCCTTTCTATTCACAGTGGAGCCAAATATCAACATCACTCTTCCCAACCTAAATCCGGTCACTGCTTACCTGGTGCGCTATCAGCTGAGCCGGCCGGGCTCTGGTGGGGAAGGACCCCTGGGACCGATTGCCGTTCTGGAAACAGACTGTATAGGTAGGAATTGTGGTTTTAAAATGATTTGATGGGTGCGCTGATGCAATCAGGAATGGCTGTGGTGAGAGGTGAAATGGAAGCGGGGGTCGAAAGAGGAACCGGCCCCGACTCCATAGGGATCTAAACAGCAGCAGTATAAGGAAGATTAAAGGAGAACTATAAGGGGAGTGAAAATCACTCAGCCTCATAATCTGAGCCGACGTGTGACAATGAAACTGTGACAGGTCGGCTCAATAGATCGGGAAGTGAGAGAACACATACCGTCGCTCGCTCACTTCTCGATCATCTCCCTGCAGAGTCCGTGACTGTCACTCACGGCTCCCTGCATGGATTCCCCCCCTCCCCGCTCCGATCCTCCAGCGCTGACTGGCGGAACGGACAGGGGAGGGGGCGGATACAGCTGGCTCTGCCTCTAGATAGGCAGAGCCAGCTGTCACTCACGCAGCTGGGCGGATCCAGACAGTAATGTTGGGATCCGTCCCGGCTGCGGCGTCTCAGTATACCGCGAGCTGCAGCTCCCTATATACTGAGCTTTGGGTGACGGGAGGACGCTAGTTTGTGTACTCCTGTTCTCCTTTAAATGCAATCTTGCACCCTTCCGCTACAATCCAATATTTGAAATTCACCCATAGTACAGACAGACAGGTGCTTATATGCAGGGCTGGATTTTCCACAAGGCCACCAAGGCCCGGCCTCATGGCAGCAGGGATTAGAGGGCCAACAGAGGGGTGTGGTATTCCTATCGCCCAACACCCGAGGCATGCAGTTCCGGGTGCCAGGCGGGTATTTTCTTTTTCTACATTTAGCCCTGCTTCAGACTAGCAGGGCTGAATGTAGAGCGGGGAAGTTTCCGCTCATTTTGTACAAGTGATCTCAGCGATGTCGCCGAGATCACTTGTATGCAGCCTGCAGGTCAAAAAAATACATTGAGGAACCTGGCCTTGGGCAGCAGAGAGTGTAAATCCGGCCCTGCTTATATGCACCTACTGTATATGTTTGGTTACAGTAAGTAGCTATATGCTGGGGGACTTTTTGGGTTTTGACATATTATACACAGGACGATACATTTGAAGACTCTGTTATGACGTATTTTATATATTTATTTTGCTTGTTCTAATTCTCTACTAGTCCCGACAGCTTTTTCTCCATTCAGATCGGCTTCTATCGGGTTACACAGCAGGGAAATCCTCCCCGCCGTGTAACCTGTCATGGATGGAGCGTTGCCTGTTACAGGCAGCACTGCATCCGGCTTTTGGCACTGCTTGTGTAACCTAACTATTGAGGCAAGAGCCGTCACAGCCTCTACTCTGTGTTAGAGGCGCGAGCTCTGTGAATGGCTTGGACCAATGGCAAATGGTCCAAACTGTCCAAACAAAAAAACAAAACAATGAGGCCATCGATCTCGATGCCTCAACAGTTACGAGCAAGTGAGGGACAGGGAGGCTCCTCCCAGTCTCCACCCTTCCTCCTTCACACTAGCTTGGGGACCGGGTTGTGGAAGGGGCTTCGGCGGGAAGGGGGCGGGCCTTTGGTGGGCGGGGTGGGGCGAGGCTGGGGAATGCCTCGCCCAGAACCAGAGGTACCGCACGTTACTGGTATATACAGTAATAATTGAAATTGTATTTATTGTGCCTGTAACCCGGATGAAAAGAGCATTATAAACCCCCAAAACACTTTATATGAACTTTGCAACTAGTAAACTGTTTCTGAACTGCTAAAACCAGGTAGACCTCTCTTCTCTTTCTTTACCTGAAGGACCTAGTATATGGTCATAGCATACTAGAGAGCTGACTGTATATATGAAGGACTCCTATACCCAATTGGGTATATCTAAGATAGAAGTCCAGTGTTCCACCACCTCAACTCTGTCAGGTTCATTGCTGCTTTGGACGCTCATTCATGTTTATTCTTTTATTTCCCCAAGAGCCCACTGTGAAGCCAGAAATAAAAGGTTACTCCAAAGAAGACCGTCACACAATCAACATTAATTGGCAGCTGCCTACTTACAGTAGTGTTGGGAGTGGCTTCCTGGTCAGGGTTTATCATCCTCCAAACCGCCTTATTCGAGTGGAGAATGTGACATCCATGGATATCTTGTCTACAGGGATCAACGGCCTCAGCTCCAACACAGAGTATATCTTCAGAGTCTTTATTTACCACTGCACCAGCCTGGGGCCTCCATCTGATCCCTACGTCATTATGCTCAATAGCAAGGGTGAGTTCATCCAACAATCTCCACCTACTAATAAATCAGTGACCTCCATGAGAGGCGGGGGGCGGGGTGGCAGGTGGGGTTCCTCAAACAGCAAAGGTAAGCCCATCTAATAATATCCACCAACTAATAAATCAGTGACCTGGATTGGAGGGGGATGCTCAACAGCAAGCGTGAGTCTATCCAACATCCTAAACCTACTAATATTTCATACTCATGCATGAGAAGTGCATCGTTAACAGCAAGGCCTAATCTGTCCATCAATAGTGGGTCCATCCAACAACCTCCACCTACCAATACTTTATAGTTGTGCATGGGAGGCAGGGTCCTAAACAGCAAGGGTGGCTCCATCAAACATCCTAAACTGACAAATATTTCATAGTGCTGCATGGGAGGAGCATCCTCAACAGCAAGGCCAAGTCCATCCATCAATGGTGGGTCCAGCCAACAATCTAATCCTACCAATACTTCATAGTTCTGCTTGGAAGGCAGGGTCCTCAACAGCAAGGGTGGTTCCATCCAACAACCACCATCTACTAACTTACAGCCAAGCATGGGGGTAGGCACTCAGAGACTCAAAAGCTAGGAAGGGTCTATCCATCAACCTCCACCTAAAAATTACTTCTCAGAATCCTGTTAGGGGGTTAGGTCCTCAACAGCAAGGTAGGGATAGGTCCACCCAACAACCCCTAATCTACTTACTGTATATCTCAGACTCCTGCATGGGAATGGGAATGTCTTCAACATTATTGGGTTGGGGGGGTGTACAACAGTCCTTAATGGGAGAGGGGGGACTGAGTCCTGTTTTGTATTCATTTTATGAGTCTTATGTTTATTACAAAAAAGGGTAAATGGAGATAATATTGTATTTCCTGTGTGTGCACATTATAACTTATTATTTTCAGGCTAAGAAGATATCGTTGATGCAACATTGACACGTTTACTACATGGTTTTTTTACTTTAAGGAGTGTATTTATATATGCAAATTTGTGGATTCCTTCTTCTAGTGGTCTATATGTCAGAAAATTTCAGTCAGCACCCTTACTTGGGTTTTAGCAGATAATAGACCTGGTACATAATATGCCACCTAGAGATTGAGTTGTTCTTCTCAGCAGGTTTACACTGAGAGAGTAGAACGGTAAAGCATAATAACGGCGCAGTGCAACTAAGCAGGAAGCAAATATGTATATGTGATGTGCAAATGGGACTGCCTGCATTAGTTGATGTTACTGTAGGAATCTTTGCAGAATTCACCTGAAATGTATAGGCACCACAAAAACTCAGTTTCCCAATCCACTCTCTGTTCTGACTACAGATCACACTGCAGATGTAAAATGCTCTACTCCCGACCTTCCCTCTATCTTTATGATGCACTCATCATATGAATATCACACCCTCCAACATAACTCTTCATAAGGTAGAACATACTCTGCTCCTGATCTTCTCTCTATCTTTACGAGTACATTCACTACCATGATATCACACCCTCCAACATGACCCTTCATAAGGTAGACATTACTCTGCTCCTGACCCTTCTCTATACCTTTCTGATTACATTCACTACCATGATATCACACCCTCCAACATGACCCTTCATAAGGTAGACATTACTCTGCTCCTGACCCTTCTCTATACCTTTCTGATTACATTCACTACCATGATATCACGCCTTCCAACAGACCTTCCATAAGGTAGACATTACTCTGCTTCTGGCCCTTCTCTATACCTTTCTGATTACACCCACCACTGGGATATCACATGCTCCAACATGACCCTCCATAAGGTAGACATTACTCTGCTCCTGACCCTTCTCTCTACTTTTCTGATTACACTCACCACTGGGATATCACATCCTCCAACATGACCCTCCATAAGGTAGACATTACTCTGCTCCTGACCCTTCTCTCTACTTTTCTGATTACACTCACCACTGGGATATCACATCCTCCAACATGACCCTCCATAAGGTAGACATTACTCTTATCCTGACCTTCTCTCTACTTTTCTGATTACACTCACCACCAGGATATCACATCCTCCAACATGACCCTCAATAAGGTAGACATTAATCTTCTCCTGACCTTCTCTCTACTTTCCTGATTACACTCACCACCAGGATATCACACCCACCAACATGACCCTACATAAGGTATACAACACTCTGCTCCTGGCCTTCTCTCAACCTTTCTGATGGCACTCTGATCATCCTCCAGTATGACCCATCATAAGTTAAAATATACTCTGCTCTCTCTGCCTTTCTGATTACACCCACCACCAGGATATAACATGCCCTGACATAACCCTATCATAAGGTAGAAAATACTCTGCTTTTGGCCTTCTCTCTACTTTTTATGATTATACTCACCTCTAGGGTATGGCGGCTTCCATCGTGACCCTCCATAAGTTGGTGGGGTAGACAGATGTACATGAATCATAAAATATTTGCTAAAGAGTGATGTTCTAGTTATTATCTATTGTGGGACATATGTAATAATTGTTTGCCAACATGTGAGCAAGGATCCATACAAAACACAAAGCTTTTCAGAATATAAAAAAAAAAAAACAATTTAACAAGGAATTCGAAGTATTGTTTCTACCGTCTGAGGAATCCAGAATCCACAGGTTGCATCCTCACAAATGACCTTTCAGCAAAATTGGTTTCTATACTCCATAGGTGATGGATACAATGTAGAATCTAATTCCGAGCACCATTTTGGTTTCTACCTGAAATCATGCACATCAGAATTGCTGCTCTCTTTTGGAACTTGCAACTGACAACCCTAAATCGCCTGTGTCCCCAGGTCCATCACCCCCGAAGGATGTCCTTGCTATTCCTCTTTCTCAACATAACATGAAACTGATCTGGTCTCCTCCCGACGATCCTAACGGTGGCATAATTAAGTATACGGTTGAGAGACGGAGGCTTGGAGTCCCTGGGGAACAGCAATGGGCCGATACAGAGGGCCACAACCAGACTTGGTACATTATTACAGGCCTGAACACCAGCACCATCTACCAATTCCGGGTGCGGGCAAGCTCCAGAGTCCCCGGAGAATGGAGCCGAACTGTAATAGCTTCAACATACAGCGAGGGTACATTTTTTTTATTTTTTATTTCTCTACATGAAGGCTAATGAATTTACCCGTATGGAGGCCCTAGATATTGTGAAGCTGTAAAAACTAAGATAGCAGGGAAGTCAAGGTATAAATAGCAGCATAGCAGACGCTCAAAGTGAATAATGGTACAAATGTAGAGCCAATCGTGGTTTGCCTTCCTAAAGCAGAGTCACATCAGTTACTTCTGATTGTCTCCTTGTGCTGCTGTACAGAGATCATAAGAGGCTCATATAAAGTCAAATTCAGGTACTTATTTATTACTTATGTATTTTGTAATGGATGCATAACTTCCTTAAATGTTGTCTTTCTATATGTCTGTCCAGAGTTTAGCTTTACCATAAGATGTATGGTGTGGCCTTTACCATAAGACCCTTCCATGGTTTGAGGTAATTGCTGTTTTTGTCCCCAGAGTCCCATCTCATGGTCCCCAGCATGGAGAGCAGGAACCCGCGGACGTCTAGTTCAGGTCAACAGCTCATCCTGGCAATAATTGGTTCTGTATCCGTCACGTGTTTCACCATCATAGTCGCCTTGCTCGCTCTCTTCTGTATCAAAAAAAATTTGTTTCACCGCAGGAAAATGTTCACGTACCAATCCGGATCGGTGAGTGATATGACTCTGATAGAAGACCTTATTCCATGCCTCAGTATGCATATTTCACGTTCGTTCTTGTTTTGTCGATCCTGCTTAAAGCACTGCATGAAACTACAGCAAGTGCTTCAAATATGATGTGGTTATGATATGATAGGCAAACGCTGTGCATCCTATTGACCCTGATATCATTCACTCTGTTACACCCAGTACATTGCATCATGCACCCCAAATACACTGAGCAGCTCATCACACTTAGCTAAAGCATACACCCTACTTAACATACTACACCATGTACCCCCATTGTATATTGCACCCCCAAATATACTCGGCAGCTCAACACACTTTGCTAAAGCATACACCCTACTTAACATACTACACCATGCATCCATTGTATCATTCACCCCAAATACACTCAGCAGCTCATCACACTTAGCTAAAGCATACACCCTACTTAACATACTACACCATGCATCCATTGTATCATTCACCCCAAATACACTCAGCAGCTCATCACACTTAGCTAAAGCATACACCCTACTTAACATACTACTCCATGCATCCATTGTACCATGCACCCCAAATACACTCAGCAGCTCAATACAACTTGAAGCATGCACCCTACTTAACATACTACACCATGCATCCATTGTATCATTCACCCCAAATACACTCAGCAGCTCATCACACTTAGCTAAAGCATACACCCTACTTAACATACTACACCATGGACCCATTGTATCATGCACCCCAAATACACTCAGCAGCTCATTACACTTGAAGCATGCACCCTACTTTACAACATGCACCCATTACTCTCATTTTCTAAAGCTCCATTCACACTCTCACTATTTTAAATGTAACCATTGCTATGCATTGACATGACGTGTATTGTCCTGATTCTTTATGAATTTTTCAGCAAAGCAAACAATAATGCAATAAACCGCATGTAAAAGCTGCACTTCAACTGCAGTGTGAAAAGAACAGGCATTTAGATAACAGAAAGGGGTGCACAGGACAGGACCTGACTCGGTGCACACCCAAGGAGGCAGAAACTGTCTATTGACAATATCTAAGGCTATTCATAATCTATAAAATATTTTTATTAACAGAATTTTTTATTTTTGCATATTGTAAGTGATGCTCATGGACGTCATAACCTCAAATGTTCATCCAATCTATGCGTTTCCTGACTTTAAGGGGGAGGAGACCATCCTGCAGTTTAGTTCGGGGACTCTGACCCTGACCCGGCGTCCCAGACCGCAGACCGAGCCCTTCTCATATCCCATCCTGGAATGGGGGGACATTAAGTTTGAGGATGTGATCGGAGAAGGAAACTTCGGACAAGTTGTCAAGGCAATGATAAAAAAAGACGGTGTGCGCATGAACGCTGCAATCAAGATGCTAAAAGGTGAGGAAAATATTTTTGGAAAGATGTGTAGACTTACAAGTCTGCTACAATGATAGTCTGAAGATGTTTTTCTACTCATGTGCATATCAATATTCTATAAATCAACAGGTGAAAATTCCTTTATATAAAAGTCTATAAATGTATCTATTTATCACATATTTGATAACATTTCAAAATTCAAGATAATTGTCTTGATATATTTGTATTTGCTTGGATTTTTGCTAGCATCGGTCGAAGAGCCATGTTAAACAGCCAACAGATCTGCCTCCCAAGAAATTAAAGAAGTTAAAATAAAAAAGTTGGGAAGCAGGGAACTTATATCCCTGCTATAAGTTGGGAAAAGAAAATGACCACACTTTTCCAGAGCTCCAACTCTACTATGGGTCAAGCATGTGTAACGCAAAGACTGCAGGGGTCATGAGTGTGTAACGCAGAACACAGTGCAGAGAGCAGGAATCAGTAGTATGTAACATACAGAGTGCAGGAGTAGGTAACACATGGAGTACAGAGGTCATCAGTAGGTAATGCATGGAGTACAGGGGTCATGAGTAGAGGACAGTAGTAAGTAACGCAGGGTTCAGTAGTAACACACGGTTCAAGGGTCAGTTGTAAGTGATGCAGAGTTCAGTGGTCAATAGTAAGTGACTCAGAGTCAGGAGTCAGTAGTGAGTGACACAGAGTCCTAGAGGCAACCATCACAGCATGTATAAAACTGGCTGTATATGACTACAGTTCACTGCAGCCAAGGACGCCACTGGAATGTTTGTTTCTCGGTTACAGACCTCTCAAAACGGGGACTGTCCCCGGGAAATGGGGACTGATGGTAACCTTAGAATAGATGTAATTTGCCAGGGTTCTTTGTGGAAGTGGCACTGGAGATCGGAGTTGGTGCGGGGGGGCACCAAGGATGGTTTATAGCCTTGTAGGTTTGCTGCTACACAATTAGAAGGTGTTAGTGTTTCTGTTTGCTTTAATTGCTAAATGGTGTGTGACTGAAGTCATGAACTCAGTAGAAGAATTTGAAGAATTTATACGGTTTCATTTTTTTTAGAATTCGCATCAGAAAATGACCACAGGGACTTTTCTGGGGAGCTGGAGGTTCTCTGTAAACTGGGTCACCATCCAAATATCATCAACTTGCTGGGAGCCTGCGAGAACAGAGGTACAGTAATTGCCCCTCTCTATACCGAATACACAAATATTTATTAAAATGTATGTATAGCCAAAACCTGTTAGTTGATAGTAGATAGTTCATGGTAGCGGATGGCAACACCCCTTAATAAAAAATATATATTTTAAAGACTTAGCCTCACCGCCTTGGAGACCACTGGACCACAACATTTTGTTTTTTTTCCATCACTTTCTATCTTGATGACAAAATCTCCCCAGTGGGGACACAAACAGGAAAGAAACATTAAAGGGTTTGTGATCCACCCCTACTCCATCAGAAAGTAGAATAAACTAATTTTGCCTTTACATACACTTGAACTGAAATGTGTAACAAACAACATATAATATTTGTGGTTGTGCACATTAATAATTCCTTGGCCTTGGAGCTTCAGTGTTGCAATAAATAGACAACCTCCCTGCACTCTTCTATCAGATTCAGTGCTCTGATCAGATCCCCCATCTTTCAGGTTATTTGTACATCGCCACTGAATATGCCCCATTTGGGAACCTGCTTGACTTTCTGCGGAAGAGCCGAGTTTTGGAAACGGATCCTGCGTTTGCCAAGGAACACGGGACGGCATCCACGCTCTCCTCTCAGCAGCTCCTACAGTTTGCCTCCGATGTGGCCAAAGGGATGCAATACCTCAGTGAGAAACAGGTACCGGGACCACTATCAGATAAACTGAATGGGGACACGCACAGAAAATTGACATTTTTCCCTTGAGTTTTTGATGTAACATTGATAGCTTTAGATGTGTGAGGCTCCAGATTTATGATGATTGTATTAAATAGACAAATTTGCAGATTTGCCCTGTATAACATGATAAAGAGGCTGACTAGAAAATGTTTTATTGGACCTCTATAAGGGGTACAAACAGTATTTGCATGTTAAAGTCTAATAAACTATTCTTAGATCAGAAGGTCTCATTCCATCACATGTCCCAAGAATAAGAGGATTAAAGTAGAACTATGAGGTGAGTGATTGTCACTCATCCTCATAGTTAGAGTCGACCTGTGACAATGAGACTGTCACACGTCGGCTCTATAGATCGGGAAGTGAGCAAACACATACCGCCACTCGCTCACTTCTCGATCATCTCCCTGCAGAGAGAGGTGACTGACAGTTACCGCTCCCCGCAGGGATTCCCCCCCTCCCCTCTCCTCCAGCGCTGACTGGAGAAACGGACGGTGGAGGGTGCGGGCACAGCTGGCTCTGCCTCTAAATAGGCAGTGCCCGCTGTCAATCAGCCAGCTGGGTGGATCTCGACAGTATTGTCGGTGTCCATCCCGGCTGCGGCGATCTCGGCATATAACTCGCTATAGCTCGCTATATACTAAACTGTGGGTCACGGGAAGACATTAGAATATGTCCTCCTGTGACCCTCAAGAGAACCATGGGTTAAAAGGTTACCCCCATAGTTCTCTTCTAATTCTAATTTTTGCCATCATCAGTGCAGTTTATGGAAACCATGGCTTCTATGGAGTAGGACTTAGGACCCAATGAGACAATATAACCATACAGGTGATGGTAAGAAGGGACTAGAAAAAATCAAAAAGTCCTCCAATGGTATCAGTGCATAGCCTAGTAAAGCCTTCTTATACATCCTACAAAATTGCTAGAAATGTAAAGGCTGGTTGAGTATATTTTATTGACGTGTATCTTTTTCTACATTGGGCAAGCCTAGATCTAATATGGCTGCTTCTAAAGCCCTCCTGCTCATTTTCACCTTCTTCAATGGTTGAGTGCAGTGTCTCCTAGATATACTGTCTTCAATTCTCATGTCCTGTGCTGCTCTCTCAGTTCATCCACAGGGATCTCGCAGCCAGGAACATCCTTGTGGGGGAAAATCTAGTGGGCAAGATTGCGGACTTTGGTCTGTCACGAGGAGAAGAAGTCTATGTGAAGAAGACGATGGTAGGTCATGCGACTTTTCTGCGCTCTTAAAGTGTGTGGCCTAATAATAAACACAGCGGGGAGGATATTGTCAGTGACACACATGGTTTGTTAATTAAAGTGAACATCGCTTTGCCTTATCTATTATGCTCAGTGTTCTATCACTTTGCTGAGTAGAGTCTCTACTCCTTCACGAAATCCACCCCATTATATGCACATACTATATAATGCATGTATATTAGCAAGGATTACCAGCTATTCCATTATAACAAGGATATGCATCCATAGCTGTCCATTCAATGATGCAAAAGGTCTGTGATTCTATATGGCGCAGACGGTGTGTGATTCTATATGGCGCAGACGGTGTGTGATTCTATATGGCGCAGACGGTCTGAGATTCTTTTCAAAATTGCAGACCCTCAAAATAACTCAGATGTCTTCACCAGGCTGATAACCAGACCTGAATTATCTAGAATCTCGAGATCTTATTTTTCTTTCTTTGAGAGCTGATTAAACATTTAATTTCATCAATACAATATCCTACTTCTATAGATGGCCAACAATATACATGACCCAGTTCCTAAGAATTGATCCTATATTTAATGATATGTACAGTATATGGTACACAGCTGAGGCAACCAACATAACTGATATATACAGTATATATATATAG